ATATATATATATTTTATTTTTTATTTTTTTTATTTTTCATATTTGTATGACAATACAAACAATACGTGTGGAGTACCCACAGATACTGCTCCAATGACTGCACTTTTGTTTGAATATTTCTTTGGTCACAGACAAGATGGTGGATGTAACAGTGTCAGTTAAACTGCTGTTTAACTGTGCAAGTAGCAGTTGCTAATAACAACAAAACATTTAACTCAAACTAACTGCTGGTTCGTTAACTTTGTCTTTTATGTATTATCTTTGATTATCTATTCATTTTCTATATTATGTTCTATATCTATTGTTGTTAACGATTAACATTCCCACAATGTTTTCCCAGATTTTGAATAGAAGTGGTGGTTATAGTTGGGTGGATGTTATGATACATTTTCTTTAATTAGTGTTGTCTCATTTAGATGAAAGCGGGACTAGAATTCTTTCTGCTGGGATTTATTGTGGCACAAACTGTGGTTGTTGTTTTTTACTATGTACTTTGTGTGTCTGTCAAACTTTTCCCAAATGAAAGAAAGAAAAAGAAAGAAAAGGAAGTCAAAGCCTGCATTTTCTCCAGTACATTACTAACATTATTACAAACTAATTTGTGGTGGTGTTTTGTTGGACTTCATGTTTTGTTCACTTCATACACAAAACAAAAAAACATCTTAAAACATCATCTAAAAATAAAAATAAATACGTTTATGTATAAAAAATGTTTATAATAAATAATACTAATGTTACAGACTTCATGGATATCAAACAGCACTCTCAGTTTACCACATTTGGATGAAAGCTGTTATTTTGTGTTTTATTGTTCCCAGGCACATTTGCTTTGTAAGGGAAAGTAGACGCTGGTTTTTAAACCTGCAATGTGACTCCTTCAGCAGCAGCTATAATGGTTGACAGTTTTCAGGGTCATAAGGTCAGCCAGAGGTTTTGGTGTACCTGTATATGTGTCGCCGCTGTTGGCCTTGCTGCCTTTGATAGAGCCCTGCTTTATTTCCTCATGCTCTTAAGTTGATAAATCTTAGTCGTCCCCCAGTGTGTGGTAGAAAACCAGATATACTAGGTGAAATGTGAGACAAAGGTCACCCAAAGGCCCCTTGGGACATGTACCAGAGCCCTGTAAAATGGTCTTAAGTTCCGCTCTAAGACAGGGTTAGGTCATATAAATTGTGGGAACTGATGTGCTTTTTGTTTTTTTGTTCTATTCAAAATCTGTCACTGTGATTTTCCACAGGAACCCTGGGTGTGGTTACTGAGGTAACGATGAAGATTCGTCCCATGCCGGAGTATCAGAAATACGGCTCGGTGGTATTCCCTAATTTTGAGCAGGGAGTCGCCTGTCTTCGAGAAGTTGCCAAACAGGTAACACGTTGATCTATCCTTAAACATACGTGGCCTGGTCACTGCCTTTTCTCCCTGTCTCAACATGAGGCTAAGGCGTGTTGGAGGTTTGCCCAAACTGCACAAAGCACTGAGGTCTTCATTTCAACCTCTTCACTTGTTTAAAATTGACCTGCCAACAAAAAGCAGCAAAAGGATCTAAATGTATTTTTAGACCTACTTGTACACTCTGTTGAAACCTTACCAGTCTAAGCTAAGCTATCCCCGGTGATGTAATGACAATGCCAGTACAAAGCAAATCAAACTTTACAGTGCCAACTGGAACAACTGGAAGTCTATGTCTATAAACATCAAACAAGAGGCCAAAAGCTTTAAAGCCAAAGCTCCAGCTGTTGCATTGAATGTTGAAAATAATACATATTGGTTAAATTTGGTCTGATATCATTTGCAAGCTTTATTTTTGGCATTTTGTTTTTGTAGGAATTTGTTATTCAAACAAACTAATATAGACCAACTTTTATTTTTCAGAGGTGTGCCCCGGCATCTATACGACTCATGGATAATGAACAGTTTAAATTTGGTAAGCTTTGTTTGATCGTTCACAATAGAGGCCAGCCTAGACTTAAAACATTGCCCTCTTAGTGCTTTATGGTAATCCTTCGCTGTACAAGTAGGACTTTATTTGACCTGGTTCTCATTTTCCTTTTAGACCCCAGTTTAACCCCTCGTCTCTCTCATCAGAGAGCTTACAACACGAGGCAGACTTTTAACCAGCAGTATGATGATAATCATATTTTGAGTTGAAATTTGTTTCTCGTACTGTATTTTTTTCGTCAATATGTGGGTTGGTGTTTCATTGATGTACTGTATAGCTCTGAGAGAAGAACAATGAATGGCAATGGCACCGCATGCAATGATTTTACCTTCTACAGCACAGAATTATTAAATTGATTATCATTTCTGCCGCAGAATAGCTGCACACACGCAGACAAAGAATTGAAGCAAGATGAAAAATGACCCTGGCCAAAATTAAGTAGTTGTTACATTGAAATTTTATGATGTTGTTTCTTAAGGTCTAGTGGAATGCATCTGGCATTGCCAGAGATCTCTGTAAAGTTCCCCAGTCTCCAGGGATCTCATTATCTCCCCTATATTTCCACTTTTCACAGAGTAGGCAGTTCTTAGCATTAAGTAGGGAAGATGAAGCGACCAGGTTTTTCACTAATAACTAAAGCTCATGGCTCTATGATACCTTCTTGGGCTTATTAGTGGCTTGTCCTCACTTTTAATCATGTTGGCTGTTGAGTAAGGAGAGTTGATGTATTCACAGGTCTTTTTCAGATTGGGACTACAAGTACAATTTAGCACTGCCTGTCTTGATGCACAAGATGAAAAATGAGAATGTTGTAGTAAGTAGTGTTGATATGCAAAAAAAAAGAAAAACCCAACCACGAAGGGGAGAGTTAAAAGTAAAATTATAATCAGTGTAGGTGTAATTTTCTCTCTCTGGATGTTGAGTATTTAATTAACGAATATGATGGCTGTGAGAGACCTAAAGACCTGCAATCAAATTTTGGAATGGAAACAATTAGGACACTAAGTGATGAAGAGACTTGAGCATGGGGGGAAATAAATGAACTGTTAAGTCTCGGCGACATCACCCGTGACTTCCCCGCTGTGATTGATAACCATCCCATTGGCCCCAGCCCCTCATTTTCGCTTGTCCACAGGCGCTTTTGTGCGTCCGATCAGGAATAAATCAAAAAGTGTGGGTGAGGAAGACGGATATCGCTGTGTCAACCCCACTTCCCTTCGGAAACCCTCTGATTTATAGTCGCTGTCGCTGGCAGCCACTGGCCAGTTGTAAAGTTATTCAAATGTTACCATTTATATTTCCTCCTTTTGTTTGAAACCCCAAATAAATCTGACTCGCTTGCCCTCTCAGAACGCTGGCGGATGCAAGCAGAAGCAGGCTAAGACTAATGTGTGTGAAAAATAATAATCAGTTTTTCAGGCCCACTTCTTTGTGAATAGATGGAGCTGACTCTTATCTGATATCTTCACAGGTCATGCCCTGAAGCCTCAAGTATCTTCAATTTTCACATCCTTTTTGGACGGGTTGAAGAAGTTTTACATCACCAAGGTAAGAAGAATTGTTAGACGTGAACGTCACGAGTTGCTTGCCCCAAGTGTTTTTCATGAAAAATGAATCCTCCTCTTTAATCACCAGTTCAAAGGGTTCGACCCCGACCGCTTGTGTGTGGCCACCCTACTGTTTGAGGGAAACCGTGAGAAGGTCCTGCAGCACGAGAAGCAAGTTTATGACATCGCTGCAAAATTTGGGTGAGTAGTTTTTTTTCTCTCCTCCTCCTGCCTACAACGACGTCCCAAAGATCAGTTCTTCCCGGCCGTGTAAAGTGCGGAAATGACAAAGCATCATTTGGTGTGACTTTGAACATGATGAGCTGCCTGAGGCGCTGATGTCACTTTATTTAACCAGCCATTATGTAGTAGCAGCAAAAAGGATGGAAAAGCGCAGTTACACACTTCAGACTCTGCCTTCCACTCAGTAGTTTGTCTCTGTGTGGATTGATGGATCACCTGTGGATGTCCTCCTGTCAGGCCAGCTTTTATGTTAAAGTAGGTGTGGTGTGGGCAGTGATAGTAGGCCGCAGCTCCCCTCAGGACAGCGCCGGGCGAGAGGACACATTCTGGAGAGAGTTTCATTGTTGTGATTGATCATTAAACGGATCAATACGGCGTTTTGGTGGAAATCAGTTTCCTGTCAGCCTTAGAGGGATGTGCCTGTTTTAAACCCCCAACAATAGTTCTGTAGATGAATTCATCCTAACATTAATTAACCTTTGAGCCTTCCATTTGGTTATTGTGATCAATAATTATTGTTTATTGGTGATGTTTCAACACATTCTCTTACTGAAACATACCAACAAAAAGCCTCTGTTCTTCCATCTCTACTGATATATTTCAACCATCATTTGAAAGTAATACCAACTAATCAGAAACCAACAGCTCATTACAACACAAGTTTAAATATGGGACAATATGGGATCCTCGGTGCTCCTCACTGGGCAGCTTATTGATCATATATTATTGTTAGTGTTACACACAGTTTGGCCCAGATTCACAGGTAGCTGGAGCTCTGCTCTGGTAGGAGCCAGCAATTAAATCATAAGAAACTTGTCAGTTACATGCAGCAGCCTCTGCTTTATTGCATTATTTCACATAAATCACGATCACCCATCAGATCAAGTGCCAGTGATGGATTGGTGCGGTTCTGTGAGGAATATTCTTCTTGTGGTGTTGGGCAAACAGGAAGGGGTGATGATCAATATAGTGATTTTGTAATGAGCTTGGCCTGATTAGTTTGGGTGGTAGATGAAAATTTGATTACCCACTGCAGGTGATGGATGTGTGGCTGACCTGTGGTGATGCACAGAGCATAGCTTCATTGATCTGTACATTGTTGGATTGACAGGCTCCCAGGCAGCTGTTGTGAGGGGAGCGGTCTGAGCAACAAAGCTAAAAGAAAAGAGCTGTTAAATATTAACCCTGTTATCTGCTTCCAGGGGCCTGGCAGCTGGAGAGGACAATGGGCAGAGGGGCTACATGTTGACCTTCGTCATCGCTTACCTCCGGGTGGGTCACTACTCTGGCTTTTTTATTTATTTTTTGCCTGAGCTGATGGGCAAGTGGGGCGGGCGAGGAGGACGCAGTCTGACAGCAGATAGGATAGTGAACAACACAGAAAGGTTGCAGAATGTGACCTCGGGAGGTCTTTGATTTCATCTGGTCACAGTTGTTGTCAGGGGGTCTAACACTGAGGTATCTACATCATGAGGAGAGCACAGTGGTTGCAGTCAAAGTGACAATGGAGAGCTGTCTTAGGTCAGTCCTGTCAGAGGACCTTTTTGGAGAAACAGAACAGAAACCTATAAATAAGCAAGGAGGGTTTACATTCACTTAAATAACTATGTAGTAATAAGCTTTCTTAAACATCATGTGTGTGAAAAATGTATTTCTCCAGCTAGATTTCTCCTGGATAAAGCGTTTTTCTAGACATGTATTTGGGTAATTGGGTTTCTAATTTTTTTTTACATGTGCATGACAAAGACTTCAGACATGGAAAATGTGACATCAGAGCAGCAGACTGAAAGGAAAAAGCATTACACGTAGTAACGTGTCATCCAGCGAAAACTGAAACAGACACAAAGTGGCCTCTAGAAGTCTAAATAAGCCAGTTTCCACAGGCACTCAATCAGCTTCAGCTCCCGTCAGCCTCTTTTTACTTCAACAACTGTCACTTTCCACACAGACTTGTCCCTTCCCATAAAATTTAACCATCTATGCAACCACACTAAAAATCTAGCTAAATAAACTTAGAAGTGTCAGAAATTGCTTTATTTCACACATTTTTGATATTGCACATATTTCACAGCACTGAATTCAGACTATTTTAGAATTTAAACTCATTTACGCTCTTAGGGAAACCTATGCTCTTACTATGGAGTGAGCCTGTCCACCCGTTGTATTATCAATACAAATGTGCCAACAAAAAAAAACCAAATGATGCACCGTCTTCTATCACTAATACAGTTAAAATCAGCCATAGTTCCAACACAAGGTTGGTTGTAGTGGAGAAATCTGACTGCTGATCAGTTCATGTGGAGTTTACAGGTTTTTCAACAACAAGTTTTGTACAGTTCATGTGAACCTGTGTAACCAGGTTCCCTCCAGGACCCTGGTTTCTTTTCTGCACGTAAATTAACTGAATGATCATTAATCTGTCAACCTGCTAATGCTAATATTGTTTTCTGAGCAGGACTTAGGAATGGACTACTATGTGATCGGGGAGTCCTTTGAAACCTCTGTGCCTTGGGACAGGTAAATACACTGATATGAGCTGTAGGATTCTTTCCATTTGATTTAAATAGTTGTAAACATTCTTCTTTACTCACCTCCCACACAGTCAGTCCTAAGAGAGTCCTCTGTCTTCCTGCTGCTCCTGTTTCCCCTTCTTTCTTTTATTTCTCTTTGCCTCTGTCTTTGACATTCACCTTCATGCCTGCCCCCCCCTGCCGCCACACACACACATTAATTGGCTCTGCGTTGGCGGAAGCTTTGCCTCCTCAACCTACAAACCTGCTATTATTGACACACACACACACACACACACACAACCACACACAAACACACGCGATACGAAAGACCTATCTGTGTGAAGAAATGCAATGTGAGACACACATTCATCTCACATCCACATCTCGTGTGTTCTGCATTTTCTACATGGTTTCATCATCATTCTCTTACACATACACAAACACAAACACAAACAACAACAACTAGGAGCACACATAGCTTCGTGTTGTGTAACATGCCTGACGGGAGAGACCAAGAGATCAGGCACTGAGGCGAGCATATGTGCCTGGCTCATTACCCATCCTCCTCCCCATCCTCCACACTACACACACGGCTGCACATGCTTAGGACTGGCGGCCATTTCCACACCAGTGGGAACCTCTCCCCACAATGGTCGTAATGTTTTTAGTCTCTCCTCCTCCTTCTCTTTTTCTTCCTGTGTCCTTTTCTGGATTTAATAATTCTGCATTGCTAATTAACTCAGTTTAATGAAAGTTCCCTATACAGTATTACGTTTTAAATACACAAATATCACAGTTTAGACCGCTGTTGTGAAACTCATTTTGTTATTCTGCGTTATCTCTTTTTTTAATAAAAATATTCCAATAGAATCCTGCCATTTACTTTATTTCAGGGTGTTGGACATTTGCCGGAATGTAAAGGCACGCATCATTCGAGAGTGTAAAGATAAAGGAGTGCAGTTTCCACCGTTATCCACATGCAGGTAATGTTTGATGTTGAATATAACAGATTTAATGCAAATTGAGGCTGATTGTAGAGAACTCTGTGCACTGCAAGTACATTACATAAGTTTCTGCACCAATATCATAACAACACTTTTGCTCATCAATCCTTGTCATTCAACAAAATAAGCCAAAGTTCTCAAATGTTAAAGGAGAAGTCTGCTGTTATTCTATATTTTGCTTATTGTCTAAAAATCCCATGAAAAGACCAAAACCAACAATGTGTTAGTCACTCAGCAGAGTTTTTAATCGTCTGTGGATAATAATGGAGCTCTGTGGCACAGAGGAATAACATGTATCAGGCTTTGGATCCACAGGCAAAATTTGTTAGAAGGAGAAAGAGAAATATAGACATTCTTTAAATATTGTTAAAACACGAGGAGCCGAGAAGAACTTTGCCGAAATGAAATTAGTAAAATTGTCAGAATTGTGATGTAAATCAGGAACTATGTGATAAAAAATGAAGCACAGAAAATTATGACTCTGATCAGATATTCACTGTCAACTTTTGGTACTTGATAATCTACATTTTGATCAATACCAAAAAATTAAGTTTCCACTCCTAACCCCCGAACCCCGGTGAGTTAGCAAGAGCCACACACACCCAAACAGACGGACGGACAATCGGACAAACAGAAGGCGAGCTGGTTGAGGAGCACCAAGCTGCTGCTGGCCGATTGCGAACAGATTAGGCCTCAGCCTGATTATGCTACAGCCATTCATTTCCCGGCTGCGGTCTGTCACATGATTGATTTGTCCATTTAACCTCTAGAACAGTCAGCGTGCCAGGTGATGGGCCATGTCAAATGAACAAGGGCTCTGCACCCTGCTCCTGCGCAGGGAACGAGGCCAAACAGAGAGAACCTGCAAACCGGAGACGCATTTTATTCTTAACAAAACAGTCTTTTACACATGATTTTATGGAGCAGAAGCCAAATGAACAATAAGGATATATTGTTCTGTGTAAAACAACGAACCGATCCATTATCTCCCAGTCATCCCCTCAGATGATTCCGTAAAAAGCCTTTGATGGCCATTTAATGTCTGATAATGTTATGTTATTAAAGGTGACAGCGCTTCCACGCCGCGTCTGCTTTCTGGAAACCATGAATGGAATTGAGGTCAGGGGTTCACCGGAGAAAGCCAGACCTCCCACTTTACTTTATCTTCCAATTATGAAGAAAAAATGCATTTATTGTACGAAGGGCCTTGAGAAAACACTGCACTTTGGATTTATGTAAATGGTATTTTCAGCGCTGAAGGGGAAACATTAAGGAGTCTTTTCTGCTTGTTTAAACATGACTCTTACGTGTTTTCTCACAGGGTGACTCAGACGTACGATGCTGGTGCCTGTGTCTACTTTTACTTTGCCTTCAACTACAGGGGACTCAGTGATCCAGTACATGTGTATGAACAAGTGGAGGTATGACCAATTTCATTTTTACCAACATTATAGCGCAGTTCAGTCCTTTCATAGATCACAGTTACATCTGATTTGATGATATGTTGAATCTGGCTTGTGTGATTGACTTTTTTGGTTTGATTTGTCATATTTCCCAGCATGCAGCTAGAGAAGAGATCCTTGCCAATGGAGGGAGCTTGTCACATCACCACGGAGGTACTAAAACCTACACAAATTCACTTACAAGTATAGCATTGAACTGGATGGCATATTTGCACCTTCTCCCAGATTATAATTTATTAAAAGAGCTTGCACTGAGTGGAAAAGACAGCATGGCGAGCTTTCCCAGCGTGCTCTTCCATGCTAGCGAGCAGGCGGCCAGTCGCACTGTAAATGTGCATTTGGTCGGAGATCTTTCATTGCTTCCTTCACGTGTCCAAAATATGTTCCTGCAGCTCAGATGAATTGCTCTGACTCGGCTATTTGTTCATTTCAGCGGTGACCAAATGAAACGTGAGCAGGGGAGGGCGGCGTAGCAACTCTCCGGGCCCCATCAGGGCTAACCGAAATGGCTGCCTTATCTATATTGCCATCCGCCTCGCTGTTTTCATACATCACTTCAGGCTATTCATCACACCTGTCAAAAACAGTATGCAGTGAATCAGCTGCGATATTAAATCACAATTTTTCCTGAAGGCGGGGACGGGTTCAAAATTAAAAGATTGCTAATAAAAAGGAGGCAGTGGGCCGGGGGTAAATGATGCCGCCGTTATCGCCGGCTGTATACTGACCTCCAAACGGTGGCCCAGCCACCCCGAGCAGCACGGGGAGGTGACGGCGGTGGCGAATATGAGCAGCGTCAGCCCCACGTGCATATAACCCAGAGAATTACAGCAAAATGTCAGTTGTGAATATTTGTTCTTCAGGTCCCCCTCGTCTCAACATGTGAGCAGACCACTCTGTAATTGTGATTATATACAGTGGGCTCGCTTAAGCACACCATATCTGGGCGAAGACCAGGCCGGTTTGCTCTGGCCCACAATCAGCGGCTTGACAAATTGGAGCTATTTCACTGGGTTTGTGTATCAAACAAAACAAGATGTTAGTCAATATAGGATGGTGAGGTGGAGGCAACCGGAGGAAATATACATTTTTGGGCCCCTGTATTACAGCAGGTCAGTGTTATGCTGGTGGGCGCTAGGTAAGTGAAATCGGGCGTGTAGAGCGCCGCAGACATACATACTCAGTATTTGTGTGATGGCAAGCAGCCAACACACGGCGGTTTTAGCTCGACAGTTTTACCTTTTTTTAGATGCGAGTCAGTTTATCTCTTACTAAAGAAGGGCGAAAGCTCTTATATGTTTGATTATTGGGCGGTTCTGAGAGCCAGAAACACTGGAGAAGTTCCTCTTAAACGTAGTCACCAGTGCTCGCAAGCCGTGAAGAGTTGTTGAAACATCCTATCAACCCAGGAGAGTCGTCCTCTATCAGCCCTGCGCCGCGGCTTCTCAGCCAGATACTCGGCCTATATCACAATGAACATAAAGTAAAAGTAAAAGTATGAAATCTCAAGACAGCGAAATTAACATACTGCAGATAAATGCAGGAAAAAAATATAAGATATATAACAATCACAGCGAATATAAACGCAGAGGCAAACAATAACAACAACGACTCAAAAAATGCCGTGGGGCGGCGTAGACCCTATCGTAACACGTGGAGAACTCGAAAGGCGATATGTGAACACCGGTGCCGTACCTTCCTTACCCCGTCTTTCATGTCCTGACCCCCATTTTGTCAGAGAAGCCCGGGGAGATGAGAGCAGGCGTGTCGAGGTGTTGAGGCTCAGGCTGCCTCCTCCGTATGAGGGGCCACCCCGGGGGTGCGCAGTATCTTACCTCACCTTGATGGCTCTGCAAAGCTCCAATCTCACTAACTCTAGCCACGCCCACCTTCCACACAGCGTACAGATGAAGATATAAAACTGACCTGATTTAGTGAAGTTCCCCCTTCCCTCTTCGCCCCGCGCTCCCCAGGCTTTTTCCACACGAGAGAAATGATGACACTCTAAAAGAAAAAAGAAAAAAAACCTTTCATTTCTGAAATAACTATCCTGCCCACTCTTTGCATTGTCTCAGCGCACAGAGCCAAGCCGCTGAGACTTTGATTGCAATAGCAAGCAAACAAATGAGAGAATATGACAGATAAGATGTGTAAATTATCACAGGTGATGGAGGCAATGATGCAGTCCCAGCACCTCTGTTTCTCTCTTTTCCTGAGAGAGGGGGAGGGGTATGGGAGGTGGAAACGAGGAGGAAGACCGAAGCAGTAGGAGGTTGTAGGAGCAGGGCGTATTTTCTTGTATTGCGTAGCAAGCTGATGGGCCTCTTGTCCACCATTCTGGAGGTGCGTGTGGTATCATGGAGTCCCAGTGGACCCCGCTGTCTTGCCCCTGTTTTGTCAGGAGGCGGAGAACGGGGGTCACTAGCCTCATGGCTTGACCCCATCTGGGTTTCCTGGCTGGAACTCTGATAACACAAGCACACTAATGCCCCCCCCCCCCCCTCCCTCACATGCCCTATTAACACTGCGCTCCCCTTGCCTAGCGGTGCAAACAGAGCGGCGCAGGCAGAAGGAAGAAGGCCGTCTTTGTGAACACTCCCATCATAACCGTTCCATTATTTCAGGCCCCCCGTCTATCTAAATCTCAGGCGATTACACTGCGAGCTTTCAGGGTGTTTACTCAAGGGGGGCCCGGGCCAGCAACCTGTTCGAAAGCTGCTCTGTTTCTCAAATTTATCTTTTTGAGTTTTGAAATAATAATTAGTCATGTGTTTTCGTTTGAGGCCATGACTCCAAAAGTTAACGTTTACCCAGTTCTGATCTGACAGAGTTAAAGTTTCTTTAGACTGACTTTTCAGGCATTATGTTTTCTTGATTCATTGTTGTTTGTTTCTTAATGTAGCCAATGTTTATAGTTTATTACATCATCTTAAAATGACTTGTTATTGTTATTTTTATTATCAATCTATTATTTTTTGGGTCATTGTTTAGGTCTGAAAAAATGTAACGCAGCAATATAACAAGCCGCTTCTACACAGTTAAAATCTTTGCTGCGTGCTTTTTTACATTATTTGCTTTACTAAAAACGTAATTGATTTAGTCAATTAATCAACAGAAAATAATAATCAATCTGATTCTGCTAGGAATAGGTGGATTAACCTTTAGGGTTGCGGGGGAGCAAATATTAGCTGTTGTATCCCTATTGTGTTCATTTTATTTAGGAATATGTATGTGAGCACAGGGCCATAACATAAGTTGATCCTGCAGGGTCAACCTTAGATAATACTGTACCTTAGCGGTTCAAATACTCCAACAAACGTACACTCACCAAAAACCCCACGACCCCCAGTGAGTTTAGGGCGTTTGGGGCCCCTGGCAGTTGCCTGCTTAGCTTAGTCATGTTTTTGTCTATCTTCTACTGTCTCAACCATCGAATCAAAAGCAAAAGGCCCACAATGTGAAAGTTCACAGTAGATCCTCAGTGGCCAGATTGTGGGTTGAGTTCACCCCAAAACAAAACTACAGCTTTCCTGGCTTGTAGAAAATCAAAGTTTCTATTTTATGTGAAGTTCGGTAACAAGAGTTTGGCTTTGCAGCGAGGTTTTCCCAGTCCTCCGCAGTCACCAGACCTCTCGCTGGCTCCAGACTCTCCGCTAAGAACCTGTCGGGTACAGACGCTGTGGAGTATGTCGGACTGGACAGCTGGTGAAGCAATGGGCACCCTCACTAGGCTTCGTGCCACAGCCGCTCTCGCTCCTCAGGTTGGGGGGTTTGGAGGAGGAGGGAGGGCGAAGAGCGGCTGAAAGCCAAAGTCCTGCTGACAGAGGACCATTGTGCGGTGCTCCGCGGTTGGCTTTGGCACCCTGTTGGCGATCAGGCCAGTGTCAGAGGGCGCAGAGCGGCGTTCGGGACAAGCAAGCACAACAGCCTCGCGGGTCAGCTGCAGGAGCGAGCTCGTGTGCACAATGAGACAGAAACACACACAGAAAAAACGCTCCAGTGACTCTGGAGGGAGGGAAATGGAGGGGAGTGGTGGCTCAAAGAGTGAGGGAGCCGGGGACGGCCCGCTACAGCCGCCAGCCGGCCCCTCCTCTGGGAACACACAGAGCCTAATGAGTTTGATAGTCTGCTGAGCTCCATAAATCATGCCATGCAAAACATTTCTCCTCTCTGAATAAAAGCATTTATCACCCTCTGTTTATTCACTCACTCTCACAAGATTGATTGGCTCCCAGCAGCCTGCTGAGCAATCAGCCGTGCCGATTCCTCTATTTCTCCCCCTCAGTCCTCTTCCCTGAGTTTATTTATTTATTTTTTTTCTCTCCTCTGTCATTCAGTGGGGAAACTTCGGAAGGAGTGGATGAGAGACACCGTCTCCAATGTCGGCATGGGGATGCTCAAGTCTGTCAAGGACTACGTGGACCCCAATAACATCTTCGGCAACAGGAACCTCCTCTAATTTCCCGCCCCCCGTCCATCTTTAATCTCACCTTTTTCTAAAAGCATCTTGTGCATTTTGGATTAATAGATACTAAATGAGAATTTAAAACGGAGAGAGATCTCGTCTTTTTCATCAAAAAGAGTCATTCGGTGCCATTTATTGATTCACCCAAACCTTTTTTTTTCTTTTACATTGTATTGCACTCAATATGCTGTAACAATCATTGTCATTAACCGTGAAGTTCATTCTTGCCGTTGAGTCGTGGCCTCAGCTTGTCGTCGGAGCTACGGCCACAATGCAACCCGACATGATGCAACAAAACCTTGATTTTGTGTCACATTTGCTAATGTCTAACAATCTCCTCAATATCCTTGCCAACGTGGTTTACTCATCGGTTTGTTTTCTTTCCTCTTTTGTGTGTGTGTGTGTGGGGCACTTCTTTAGTGGTAAGTTCTAGATGAATGCACTTTCTAAAGCTCTGTGCCTTTCTAAAGCTTTTGTCTGCCTTCCCCTTCTCCTACTTCACCCTCTGCTGGTGTATAAGTGAGTCCCTTTGTGAAGCAAAAGTAACTTGGACATGATGTTTTCTGTCTCCAGTTGATGTTTTTCTTGCCCTCATGCCTTTTGTTGTACTGACCTATTGCCATAAGAGACTTTTTCTGGACCGTGTGTGTGTCTGTGCCTCTGCTGACAAACCTGTTTGACTAAAGCCTTCCCCTCTGCCCCACCAAATTTTAACCCCCCCCGTCCCCTGTCCCC